AAACCAATAGGTGCAGTAGGATCAAAAACCCATTGCCATTGTTCTTGGGGTCTCAGTAGTCCTCATTGTCCGCTATGTTCAGCGAGACCGGTTTTAACCCAGGCTTTTTCATACTCAGGCCAGCTGGCCTTGGTGAGTTCCCGATAGGACATCCCCATTGTCTCAGTGTGTGGGTGCACCCCTCGTGGTCCTGAGTTCCTTGCTCGTGCTCTCTCTCCTTCTGCTCCTGATTTGGACCTTGAGATTTCAGTCCGGTGCTCCAATGTGGGTCTCTGTCTCTGTCTCTGTCTCCTTTCATCGCCTGATGAAGGTTAATGTTCAGGAGGATGCCTATATGATTTTCTTTGGGTTCTCCTTCTTATTTAGCTTCTCTAAGAACCCGAATTATAGGCTCAATGTCCTTTATTTATGGCTAGAAACCAAATATGAATGAGTACATCCAACTTCTTAATGAAAAAAACAGCTTTCATGAGGAGTGTGTGTGTGTGTGTGTGTGTGTGTGTGTGTGTGTTTTAGAATCTGATAACTTTCCCATGCATTGGTATTACCACCTTGGCTATTATTCTCCTTAATTTGATCAGATTTAAAAAAAAACTAATTTTTTAAATAAAATTACATCAACTAAAAACTCAAAGTAATAAAGTAAAATATTGATCATTATTTTAGTGATGTAGGACTATCTAGACTGGTATTTCTCAACCTTCCTAATTCTGCTATCATTTATTATAGTTTCTCCTGTTGTGGTGACCCCCAACAATAAAATTACTTTCATTGCTACTTCATAACTGTAATTTTTCTACTGTTATGAATTGTATTTATTTGAATAATTTTCAAGATAGAGTTTTGCCAAAGGCATTGTGACTCACAGATTGAGAACCACTGATTCAGACTTTGGATGACAGAAAACAATGATATAGGATTCTAATCATTTGATTAAAATGCTGAGATAAATCTAATTCTTGTTTAAGACAATATCTAGTTAAATTTTCAGAAGTATCATGGGTGAGAATAAATGATATATTTTAGTGTGATTAATGCTACAACACTTTAATCTGGTTCAGTTCAAAAGTCAGCCAAACTTATAGGAAGGTAGAATAATTTGGTATAGGCTAAGTGATAGAAGCAGAATTTAATGGCAACACTGTCAAGTAAGTAGGTATCCTTATTCTTCTTTAAACTATGAATATTCTGCCGAAATTAAAATGTTTATGTCTATTAAACTTCTCTTTTGGGGGTATATAAATGAATATGTATGTTACTGTATGATGTGTGTGTCTGTGTATGTGTGTCCTTTATACATGTGTATAGGTTTAGGCACCAGTGTGTGGACATGGAGGCCACAGTGGGACATTGGACAACTTGCTCTATCACCCTCCAGCTTATTCCCTTGAAACTTAACCTGAAATCTCTAACCTGAATTTTAACCTGAAATCTCTAATTTAACCTGAAATTATGCTGGCAGTCAGAAAGACCTACCAACCCTCCTATTTCTACTTCATCATCCAACTTTGAGGTTACAGTCTAACTTACTTTGTTAAATGTGGGTTCTTGTGATTCAAATTTGGGTTCCCATGCTTGTAGAGCAAGCACTCTTCTCCACTGAGCCATCTCCCCAGGCTTGACACATTTATTTTAGTTGTTTTATTTTATTAAAAATTTCTGTCTCCTCCCCACCTCCCTTCCCCCCCTCCCCATGCCCCACTCCCCTCCCCTTCCCTTCCAGTCCTAAGAGAAGTCAGGGTGCCCTGCCCTGTGGGAAGTCCAAGGTTCTCCCCCCTCCACCCAAGTCTAGGAAGGTGAGCATCCAAACAGGCTAGGCTCACACAAAGCCAGTACATGCAGTAGGATCAAAACCCAGTGCCACTGTCCTTGACTTCTCAGCAGCCCTCATTGTCCACCATATTCAGAGAGTCCGGTATTTTTAGTTGGTTTTATACAGTTTCTGTCATATAACGGTTTGGGCAAGTTCTTGAGCTGAATATAAAGAAGTACACAGATAGAGAGTTCCTTCTTGATAGGCATATTTAATCACAGAGAAAAATAAAAAGGAAGGTGGAGAGAAAGGATAGTTTAACAGCTGAAATAGAATGAATTAAAAAGCTGGTAGTTGATTTTAGAAGACCTTTTTCTTTAGGATCTTAAGTCAAAAACATGGGAGAAATCAATTTAATTTGCACATTTAGATCATATGTCTGCCACCCGACGAAAGTTAATAAAGGACTTCAGCGGCATCTTTTTAACAATCTGTGAACAGTGCCGTTGTCATGAAATGTGTTGATCGCTGATCCTTACATTTAAGATCCTTATCTTTTAGTGGTTTTTGATGCCAGTGTTGTAAAATAATTGTGTTGTGAATAGAAAATATGTATTTTATGGAATATAAAGTTAAGTGAAGAGATAATAGAAAATTTCCTTAGCATAAGTTAAATATAAGGCAAAATTAAATATAAATTTAGTGTATCTGAGGCAATGGATTTTTCCTTGCATTGCTAGTTAGCCTATCATCACAAGTATTCAGAGTAGGTGCTTGATCAACTCTTGAGAAATACAAGTGACGTCAAGTGAGGGTTAGAACATTGAATTTTTGTCTTCTCTTAGTTGGGGATGTTCTGTGTTTGGGTTAATGGTACTTAGTCCTGGCAAGGTAACCTTTGGCTTTTTGGGGTATGAGAAGTCAGCACAGAGATAGGTCTTAGAATTAGAGAGACCTGTATTCAAAATTTCTCATGCCAATTACTAGCTCTGTGACACTGGGAATGTTTGTTAACTATTGTAGATTTCATTTTCTAGTCTATAAAATGGGGTGGACTATGCCTGTATGATAAGGTGGCAAATTGAAAAGACACAAAATGCTCAGTACAGTGCCTGGCACATAGTAAGCGCTCAATAAAATATTGCTATTATTATTATTATAATACTGTAAGTATTGTATATTCAAACATGACTATTTTTGGCAAAATTTTAATATTAATTCACTTCAAAATATGGTATACATGATGGCTTTAAAAGAAAGAATAAGAATTTTAATATTCTTCCTTGTTTGCTAATAAGTGACACCTGAAACAGTTCCATTGTTCTTTCAGTAATTCTTTTATACTGTATTTATAATGTGATTACTATTGCACAATGTTGATTTATCTGGTGATTAGAGGTAAAGACTTTTTGATATAAATGTCTAGTACTCTTGAAAATCCATCTACTTAGTCCCACTTTAAATATAATTAAGGCACTCTGATATAGGTAATGATGATAAATCTGTATAGAATGCCTTCTTGACCACTAAATTTTTAGCTTAGTTTCCTTACAAATAATTGTGCAAGGCAAAGTATTCTTGATAGGCAAGGGAGATTCTTTACAACTGACTTCTGAACTTTTTGATATTTCATACATTTATCATGGAATTTAGGAATTTTTAAGGATTGGTATTTAGAAAATAGGGTATTCATCAAGACTTTGGTAGTGTGATTTTAAAACTATGCATCTTTCATTGCCTCATTCAATTTCAGACTACTGCCTACTAGTATTATTGCAGATTACTTCCATCACAAACCTTTCTTTCAACTTTGAATACTTGGTATGCTAGGCACTGTATGTGCCTTGGTACCTCTCTCCATGACTATCATCATCTTTGGTAGTGATCCACACATTGCCTTGTAAGAAGACCCACATGAATGCCCACTGTATCATTGATAGTTGTTTGATTTTTAAGTCATGGGCCATTCCCAGTGCACCTTACTAGTTTTGATTTATTGAGTTCTTTGTGTGCAATACATGTGCCAATTCCTGTCCTTGTAAGCATTTTCTAGTATAAATACTGAGGGACTTGAGGCTATACCTCAGCTTTCATTTCATATGGCTGTTATGTAAGTTCTAGGGAGTGAGATCAGAACTTTACATATATTTTTATCCATGAGATGACCCTACTAAATTATAATTTTCTTCATTTTCCCTGTCTACAGGGGTGGGCTCTCTCTCTCTCTCTCTCTCTCTCTCTCTCTCTCTCTCTCTCTCTCTCTCTCTCTCTTTCTCTCTCTGTATGTGTACAAGTAATTTTCTAGCTCTAGCTTCTATCTTCCGTGACTGGGACTTAGGCCCAGGCTACTAATCTACTAATTTTGTCTCTGAATATAAGGGCTCCTAAACAATTGCCAGCCTTAACTCCTGATTTTCAGAATGTTATACAATATCTTTTGTGCCACTAGGCTCCAAAACGTTGCATCTGTACTCTTGCATGTGAATGCTAGCCTTGGATGTGCTTAAGTTTACTATACTCTAGGTTTGATATCTAGAGCTGGCTTGGCAAACTACAGCCTTTAGGCCAAATCCACCCACATACACATTTTAAAAATAATTTGTTTTAGTGGAATATAGCTCTAGCTATAATTTTCCTTGTCTGTGTTTACACTAATAGCATAATTGAGTAGTTTCAATAGACACTATTACATTTTAACAAACCAATCTTTTACAGAAAGTATTTGCTGAACCCTGATCTAGAACCAAGTAATTTTTCTAGTTGAAGGTAGTAAATATTCTTCGATAATTTTCATTCTACTGGCATTTATTCTGTCAATCCATAAATGCTAAAAAGTCAGTTCATTGAGATTGTGGAGATAGGTTCTAGCACATTCAAATTACTTTGTTCCTTGAACTTCCTCTTCCTCTTTGTTATCTACTTGTTGCCCTTGTTTTCTTTTTAGTAGAAGAGATGTTGTGATTGTAAAAGCCTGTGCAATGATTTAACTATCTTTTAATCTAATATCTACATCATAATACAAACATGGTCTTCTAATTTCTAAGATCAGGCCTTTCTATCTTTCAGTATCTCTAACTCAGGTCTTCTAAGTTCCACAAAGGACAATAGCTTGGATAACTTGATTTTCCTCACATCACAACATCCCTATTTTCTAGTCTCTGGCCTGAAGCATTTCCAGTTCTTGTGTTTTCTAATCTATCTAGTATATTAGAGTTGTTAAAAGCCTCCCATCTTCCAATATTTTTTATCAATACTTAAAGTTAAGCCCTGCCTTTCACAGGCCAAAGAAATACATTTCAGTTCTTCTGTGGTCCCAATCACTCAACATTTCCTATTTGCAGGCTTTCTGGAGTCCATTTATTTGATAGCACCCAAGTGTAGCTTTTCCAGTGTACTGTAGTGTATTTTTCAGTTATCAGATTATTATTATTATGTATTAATATCTTCTAAATCTTGATATAACAGTCTTTTTAAAAATCAAATTTATTAGTTGACTATTTCATGCATGTATACATAATGCATTAAGATTACTCATCTCTATCCTTTCTAATCTCCCCCTTTTCCCTGTCAATTGTCATCTTCACTATAAATCTGTTTACTACACTCATATCTCTTTTGTTTTGTGATCCACTGAGTTTAACAAGGGCCAGCCATATAACCATGAGTGTGGAACTATCCCTTGGAGTATTGGAGACTCATTAGAGTCACATCTGAAGACAGTGACTCCCCTTATCCTAGTATAAGTAAGTAGCCAGTAGTTCCCTAAGGGAGAACAGGAACCCATTAGTCTTTTTCTCATCTGTGATTGACAAACCCCATCTTGTGATAGGCTCAGTAAAGGTAACTGCATTTATTGTGAGTTCCTGATAGCAATGGCTTTGTCATGCCCAGAATATAGCATTTCATTTCCTTTTCTCTGTCATCCTGCTCTTGCATTCTTTCAAGTCTGATAATGTCTTTTTATTGCCAGTTCTTCCCTGACAGGAACTCTCATTTTCTAACACTCAGGGTTCCATTACTCTGAACTCATAAATAACAAGATCTTCTAGCATCTAGAGCTCTTAAAATCTAGGGTTACCAAATCATTTAAACTTAATTCTTATAAATTATGTCAGTATTTTGACAGGACTATGATAACGTTGAGGTTTTCTATTATCTCTCAATAGGTGGGGTTTTCGAATTTGTGATTTGTAAATGTCCATGTCTTTTGTTATCCATAAAACTACTGATTAAGGGTTCAAAAATACAAGATATGTAATGACTTGATTATCCAAGACTTCTAATATAGGGCTTTAACTATCAAATATGCAAATATTCAGGGCCTCTGAAATCTTTAATGTCCAACATAACCAATGTTTTCAAAAATTCAGTATTTCCAAAAATCCCATGCTTATGATGTTTCCAATATCTAGGGTTTCCAGTGGTGCCAGTATCAAGGTCTTCCAATATCTCCAGGTCTTCTAGCAACTGCAAGTCTTCCAACAATATCAAGATCTTCCAGACAATCCTGAACTTCCAGAAAATGCATGTCTTCCAGACAATCCATGTCGTCCAACAACCTCCAAGTCTTCCAGCAAATCCAGTCTTCCATAAAATCCAGACCTTCCAGGAAAATCGATGTCTTCCAGAAAAATCCACGTCTTCCAGAAGAATCCAAGTCTTCCAGTGCAATCTACGTCTTCCAGAAAAATGTCTTCCACAAAATCCAAGTCTTTCCATCAATCCAAGTCTTCCAGAAAAAATCCCAGTCTTCCAGCCAGTCCATGTCTTCCAGGAAAATCAGTGTCTTCCAGTCAATCCAGGTCTTCCAGAAAAATCCAGGTCTTCAAGATAATCTATGTCTTCCACAAGTTGAAGTCTTCCAGAAACTCAAGTCTTCCACTAAATTCAGGTCTTCCAATAGATCCATGTCTTCCAATAACCTCCAGGTCTTCCAGCCAAGGTATGTCTTCCTGAAGATGTACGTCTTCCTGAAAATTGATGTCTTCCAGAAACTTCTCAGTCTTCCACATATTCATGTCTTCCAAATAATCTTGGTCTTCCAGATAATTCAGATCTTCCTGAAAATCCATGTCTTCCAGAAAATTTATGTCTTCCCAATATCTATGTCTTCCAGTAATCTTCTGGTCTTCCATCATCTACATCTTACAGAAAATCCATGTCTTCCATCAAATCCATAGCTTCCAGGAAGTCCATGTCTTCCAGGTAATCTATGTCTTCCCAAATATCTGTGTCTTCCTCAAAATCCAGGTCTTCCCCAAAATCCAAGTCTTCCCAAAATCCAGGTCTTCCAAAAAATCCATGTCTTCCCAAAAATCTACATCTTCCTGAAAATCCATGTCTTCCTGGAAATTCACGTCTTCCTGGAAATCCACGTCTTCCCAGAAATCCAAGTCTTCCCAAAAAATCCAGGTCTTCCTGGAAATCCACGTCTTCCTGAAGATCTATGTCTTCCTGGAAATCCACGTCTTCCCGAAAATCTACATCTTCCTAAAGATCCGTGTCTTCCTGGAAATGCACGTCTTCCCAGAAATCCAAGTCTTCCCAAAAATCTACATCTTCCTGGAAATCCACGTCTTCCTGAAAATCCACGTCTTCCTGGAAATCTACGTCTTCCTGAACATCTATGTCTTCCTGAAAATCGATGTCTTCCCGGAAATCCATGTCTTCCCGGAAATCCAAGTCTTCCCAAAAATTCAGGTCTTCCTGAAAATCCACGTCTTCCTGGAAATCCACGTCTTCCTGAAAGACCATGTCTTCCTAGAAATCCACATCTTCCCAGAAATCCAAGTCTTCCCGAAAAATCCAGGTCTTCCTGGAAATCCACGTCTTCCTGAAAATCTACGTCTTCCTGAAAATCCACGTCTTCCTGGAAATCCACGTCTTCCCAGAAATCAATGTCTTCCTGGAAATCCAAGTCTTCCCAAAAAATCCAGGTCTTCCTGGAAATCTACGTCTTCCTGAAAATCTATGTCTTCCTGAAAATCCACGTCTTCCCGGAAATCCATGTCTTCCCAGAAATCCATGTCTTCCGGGAAATCCCAGGTCTTCCTGGAAATCCAAGTCTTCCTGAAATTCCAGGTCTTCCTGAAAATCCACGTCTTCCTGGAAATCCACGTCTTCCTGAAAATCCACGTCTTCCTGGAAACCCACGTCTTCCCAGAAATCAATGTCTTCCTGGAAATCCAAGTCTTCCCAAAAAATCCAGGTCTTCCTGGAAATCCACGTCTTCCTGAATATCTACGTCTTCCTGAAAATCCATGTCTTCCTGGAAATCCACGTCTTCCTGACAATCTACGTCTTCCTGGAAATCCACGTCTTCCTGAGAGTCCACGTCTTCCTGAAAATCCAGGTCTTCCCGGAAATCAATGTCTTCCTGAAAATCCAAGTCTTCCCAAAAATCCAGGTCTTCCTGGAAATCCACGTCTTCCTGAAAATCCACGTCTTCCTGAAAATCCACGTCTTCCTGGAAATCCACGTCTTCCTGAAAATCCACGTCTTCCTGGAAACCCACGTCTTCCCAGAAATCAATGTCTTCCTGGAAATCCAAGTCTTCCCAAAAAATCCAGGTCTTCCTGGAAATCCACGTCTTCCTGAATATCTACGTCTTCCTGAAAATCCATGTCTTCCTGGAAATCCACGTCTTCCTGACAATCTACGTCTTCCTGGAAATCCACGTCTTCCTGAGAGTCCACGTCTTCCTGAAAATCCAGGTCTTCCCGGAAATCAATGTCTTCCTGAAAATCCAAGTCTTCCCAAAAATCCAGGTCTTCCTGGAAATCCACGTCTTCCTGAAAATCCACGTCTTCCTGAAAATCCATGTCTGCCTGGAAATCCACGTCTTCCCAGAAATCCAAGTCTTCCCAAAAATCCACATCTTCCTAAAAATTCACGTCTTCCTGAAAATCCATGTCTTCCTGGAAATCCAAGTCTTTCCAAAAAAAATCCAGGTCTTCCTGGAAATCCGCGTCTTCCTGAAAATCCACGTCTTCCTGAAAATCCACGTCTTCCTGAAAGTCCACGTCTTCCTGAAAGTCCACGTCTTCCTGGAAATCCATGTCTTCCCGGAAATCCATGTCTCTCCAGAAATCCAAGTCTTCCCAAAAATTCCAGGTCTTCCTGGAAATCCAGGTCTTCCTGGAAATCCAGGTCTTCCCCCAAAATCCAGGTCTTCCTGGAAATCCACTTCTTCCTGGAAATCCAGGTCTTCCTGGAAATCCATGTCTTCCCAAAACTCTACGTCTTCCTGAAAAGCCACGTCTTCCTGAAAATCTAAGTCTTCCCAGAAATCCAGGTCTTCCCAAAAAATCCACGTCTTCCTGAAAATCTACGTCTTCCTGAAAATCCACGTCTTCCTAGAAATCCAGGTCTTCCTGGAAATCCATGTCTTTCCGGAAATCCAAGTCTTCCCAAAAACTCCAGGTCTTCCTGAAAATCCACGTCTTCCTGAAAATCTAGATCTTCCTGAAAATCCACGTCTTCCTGGAAATCCAGGTCTTCCTGGAAATCCATGTCTTCCCAGAAATCCAAGTCTTCCCAAAAAAATCCAGGTCTTCCTGGAAATCCACTTCTTCCTGGAAATCCAAGTCTTCCCAGAAATCCAGGTATTCCTGGAAATCCATGTCTTCCCAAAAATCTACGTCTTCCTGAAAATCCACGTCTTCCCGAAAATCTAAGTCTTCCCAGAAATCTAAGTCTTCCCAGAAATCCAAGTCTTCCCAGAAAACCAAGTCTTCCCAAAAATCCAGGTCTTCCTGGAAATCCTTGTCTTCCCAGAAATCAAAGTCTTCCCTAAAAATCCATGTCTTCCTGAAAATCTACATCTTCCTGAAAAATCCATGTCTTCCCAAAAATCCACAACTTCCCGAAAATCCACAGCTTCCCGAAAATCCACGTCTTCGCAAAAATCCACATCTTCCTAGAAATCCACGTCTTCCCGAAAATCCACGTCTTCCTGAAAATCCACGTCTTCCTGGAAATCCATGTCTTCCTGAAAATCCACGTCTTCCTGGAAATCCATGTCTTCCTGAAAATCCACGTCTTCCTGAAAAATCCACTTCTTCCCAAAAATCCACTTCTTCTGGAAAAATCCATGTCTTCCAAAGAGTACATGTCTACCTACACCTCCAGGTCTTCCAGCATCTCCAGGGCTTCCAGCATCTGCCTGTCCTCCAGCATCGCCACATCTTCCAACATCTGTGTCTTCCAATACCTTCAGGTTTTCCTGTAACTACCCAGTCTTCCATCAGCAGGCTCCATATCTGCGCCTTCCAGTGTCTCCAGTGTATCGTTTTCTGATATTCAGGTTTTCCAGTGTCTTCCATATCCAGGTATTGAAAGTTGTTATATAGTTTATTTTTCCCAATATTTACCTAGTTTGGGGATTTTTCAAATCTAGTCTTTCCATCTAAGTCTTTCTAGGTGCAGATAGTTTTAGACTAATTTCTCAAATTAACTATTACTGCTTTTAGTAGAACTAGCTTCAGAATATTTAAAAGCATATTAGCTCTTACATATCAAGTTTTAGGGGGCAACAGTAGTATTGTTTGTGACTTTTTTGAAATTAGAAAATGTATATTCTTTATAACTTTTAAAAGGTTGTGTTAAGAAAGAGGCTCTATAGAACTGATGCAGTAATTTTACAACTTAGGCAATCGTTATGGTTTTGATAGTCAACAATGTTCAAACACAAATGAAAATTTTTTATGGGAAGATTTCATGCTTAAAGACTAATTTTATATCTATGTAAAGATAGTGGCATATATTGATTTATTTTGTCTGTTTTTAATATTTGTCCCTATGTGGTAATAATAATAATAATAATAATAATAATAATAATAATAATAATAACAATAATGCAAAGCATTTGCTGTGTCCAGGCACCATTCTAAGATCCTTACATGCATCAACTCATTTAATCTTCACAACTCATTGTGATAGGAGTTATTATTATCTCTGTTTTACAGATGAGGAAAGTGGTATATAGTGGTGAAGTAACTTGTCTAAAAGACAGAACTAGTAAATAAAAGAGCTAGGATTGAACTCAGCTAGCCTGCTTCTAAAATTCATGATTCTACCACTATGCTCTCTTTTTCATTGTAACTGATGATGAAAATTGGGATGAAAGTGAGGGGAACTAAAGTTTTATGGTTCCCATATTGTATGTAGAATATTATAAAATCTCGTGTGTCATATTTTAACCTGTCACTGTCTGAGCCTTATTTGAATCAAGTCATCCTAAAACCAGCTACTGTACCACCCCCTTGCTCATGCACATGAAAGTAGGTACCAATATTTCCTGATACCAGGTTAAAAGAAGGATACAGTGAGGTACTGAATTCAAATACACCTTACTTAGAATTACAGTCATAGCTTCATGCTTGGAATTTTAATGCTTAGAAATTTAACTTTCCTTTCCAGTTTAATACCTTGTCACTTATCATTCTCCAGTCTTAACCATGCTATCTGGATCACTTACTATTAGTTTGTTTTTGACCTCCAGGATCTTCATGCTTCTTCAGATATCACTGACTTCCTGGGTTCCTGACCATTCACTGCCTTGTATCCACATAATGGTAACTATAACTTAAATCCCAAGCTGATGAGCTAGAGAGCTGTCTTTTCTTGATTCTCTAAGTCTCAAATCTCCTCAGGCACAGATAGCAATGTTGCTACTCATACCTCTGGTTGATATGAAAACATAAAAGACATATAATAAACTTATAGTTAGGCAAGTAATATCCGAAGATTTGCAGTCATCTGTGTGATAACAAAAAGTAACAACAATAACAATTGAAATATCAATACATTTTGAATTAGAGTTGACAAAGTGCTATCACCTCATTTATTCATCCATTCATTCATTCATTCAATAAATATTTATTGAGCGCCAAATTTGTGCCAGGCATTTTTAATAGACCTTAAAATTATTTGGGGCTACGGATAATTTTCAGTTGTGGTAAAGGCATGGAGAAAAAGTAAGTATAGGATGCTGTGAGAATTTTTAAAGTCAAGAAGTCAAATTCATACTGATGCTAAAGAATCTTTCTTTTTGGAGTGTTACAGTAAGCTTGCGATTTAGATAATATAGGTGAATTTATATCAGTTTTACCTAATTAGAGCAATGGGTATGGGTTTAAGGTGTTGTCTGAGCTTCTTTTTTCCCTTCACTTCCATTCTGCCTTAATCAGAAACGTTGATAATTTGTAATTTTAACCATTTTATCCAAAGCATTTTCCTAATTATTTTCAATGTGAATAATGCAAGCTGGGTGTGCTAGCTGCGGTCTCAGCATTCTATGGACTAAAACAGGCAGAGTGAGAGTTAAAGGCCAGCTTGGCCTGCATAAGGAGAGTTTGTCTCAAGAAAAGGTAGATAAGTTTTAGAAGACTGTGATGGCCAGGTAGCTAAAGCATTAGACTCAGAAAAAATATATAGATAATTCATACATAATGGTATTCCCTATAGTTACTGGCTATAACAAAAATGGAAAAAAAAATTCTAGATTATGTGTGTGTGTGTGCGTCCAGTTATATCATTGTATGTCCAGTTATATCATTGTCTGTGAGTGTATATGCACATGTGCAGGAGTAGAGAAATCATATATGAGTGTCATTCTTCAGAAGTCCTTTGCCTTGTTTATTTGTGTCTATTTGTGTCTTTTGTTGTTGTTTGTTTTGACCCAAGGTCTCTCACTGGTCTAGAGCTTTCAATTAGGCCAAATGGTCCCTTGTGTCCATATGTCTCTGCCTCCCTAGTGCTGGAATTAGAAGGGCATAACACTACATCTAACCCTTTAAAAATATAACTCCTCATGTTTGTGAAGTATATGCTTTACTATACGGGTTATATCCCCAGTCACTAGCTCTAGCTTTAAGGCAATAAATAAGTAAATGTCTTGTTTATATATGCTATTCGTCATTAAAATATGTATGGCTTGTGCATTAATTAATGTTAGTTTCAAAATTAGCTCGATGATATAAAGTGTGACTTTAGTTATTTTTCAAACATATGATTAGAGACAAATGGCCACCAGAGAATGTGAACTGGTTATTATAGCGTAAGAAGGATGTGTGGGATCTTTTTTTAAATATTTCTACTGTTTTCCCCCATAGTATAACCATACAAAAATTATGTTGAAGAAAAACATTTAATCAGTTGTATACAGTTTATTATTTATTTGCCTTTCTAAAATGTATATGTAACTTTTTTATTTCAAAACTTCAAAATATAAAGAAATAAAATTAAAAAGCTTATTCTCAAATTTTCTCAGTTCTTACAGAAAATCATTATAAAGATTTTATGTTCTTTCAGAATTTTCAGCATATTTTTCTTTTTAAAATGGAATGAGTCCACTATGTAACCTAATATTTTACTTAATAAATTGTTAATTTCCACAAGAGTAAACTGTGATTTCATGTTAAAATTTTAATACAAGGTATATTTATTTCATTTCCTTTTAGTAGACATTATATTCCTTCCAACATTTTAAGATTATTAAAACATGTTGTGAGGAGTGCACAGACAGCACAAGTTGTATGGTACCCAAACTGCCATCACATTACAATTCAGTTTGTACTATGGCAAAACTTGTATACATAGTACTTAGATAAAGAATTAAAGTGAGAAGTCACTGGTTCAAAGATTGATAACTTCAATGTGTTTTTTTTTTTTCACAGAAAAACTTACAAGCAATCCAGATGCCAAAATTTGAGAGATGGTTAAGAAAAAATTATATGGTAGCTACTTTCCAGAAGTTCCAGTTTACACCTGGAAGAATTACTGAAATGCTACCACGTTCACAAGGTGGTATCAGTAAAATGAACAGTCACATACAAATANATAATATATATATATTCATGGCTCGTAGATGGGAAATGGCATAGGTATCTTCAGAAAAGGAACCAGAATCTACCTCCTAAAATTTTAGCAGAAAAAATTCCAAAAGGAGGCCAAGTTCAGCTTATATTTATTTTTATTAAAGAAACAATAGCTCAGTCAGTAAAGTAGCTGCCACACAAGCATGATATCTTGAGTTTAGATGCCCAGCACCCACATAAAAGTGGCAGTATCTATCTGAAAACCAATTGTTGAAGGAGGTTGGTAGAGGTAGGTAGATCCTTGGAGCTCATCAGCCAGGGTAGTAGCTTTGATAAGTTCCAAATTCATTAAGAGACGCTGTCTTAACAAGTAACATGAAACCTGATCATAGAAGATGCTTGAAATGCAAGTGTTCACAATGCATGTATAGCTGCATGCACATGTGCACATACTCACATGATGCTTATAATAATTGGTAAGCAGGGACAATAATACATAGAGTAAAAGCAAAAAGCATTCCTTTCCTAACACTACTGCATAGAAATAGCTACGATTATTTGACTCTTCTTACTGATTTATCTATTAATGTCAATCTATTGTTGAGTATTTCACAGAATAGAATTGTTATATATAGTTACATAGCATATAAATAGAATTAATATTGTAAAACTTCCTGTTCATTAGAAAGTCATTTTGCTGCATTAATTATTATTAGGTTCTTTTTGATACATGATAGTCTTAATGTTTTTTTTTCTTCTGTTTTGGGTGTTTGTTTGTTTGTTTGTTTTTGGTAGCATAATCATTTCCTGTTTCCAGACTTCCAACCTTCTCTGCTACTTTGTTTCTAGTGCCCCCCTTTTGAAATAACACCTAATACCGTATTTTTACTTTCTAACAAAGTCAGCTTGTATTAATAGATAATTAAAGCATTGAGCTGTTTTCCATGTGGTCTGTCTCTTGATAGTCCACGTCTTCATCGCTTCTCCTCAGAGTGCTGCAACTATGAAAACAAAAGGAAATTCTGCAACCGTATTTTTTCTGAGAATGTTTACCTTTTGATTCATAGTTTTAAAGTTTACATTAATTACATTTGGTACTGATTTATTCTTCTATTTTGAATTTTTGTCAATTTTTCCTTTCTGCATTTGTCAGAGTGTATGACTTCTTTTTAATTTTCTGTTTTGTAATTATAATAAATTGTTGAATTGTTCCCTTCCTCCCTCCAAACCCTCCCATATTCCACTGTCCTTCTCCTTCAAAGTCATGACCTATTTGTTTATTAATTGGTGTAATTTGCATATATACATATATACATAGATATCCCTAAATGCAACCTGTTCACTCTGTATAATGCTACTTGTATGTTAGTTTTTAGGGCTGACTACATGTCAATGGATTTCTTTTATCTCTAATTATTTAAAAGTTTGAAGTGTCACTTTTATTCTAATATAATTATATTGATATATATGTATTTATTTATATACTTTTATATTGTAACTTTCGAGGTGAAGTTTTTAAAATAAAAATGGAGAAAGTATCTTATCTTAAATGTGTCAAGTGTTGGTTCTTTTTCATTCCTTTGTGGGTTCTTATCATACAAGTTTTGTTGTTTACAATTGTTTATTACACAGAGTAGAACATGTAATGCTGCACATGTGCAGAGCTCAGAGGCCACCTCATCTCATCAGCCTTTGTCTGTCCCTCACTGCTCCTGTCCATTCTGGTTACTACTGCCAGATTACTCTTCACAAGGGTAATGGTAAGCACCTTAAAATACCTGTTTCCTAATGAAATATGAGCATCCACGTCCTCTGTAACCCTCTTAATATACCCATATCTGTTTTAGCCTTGCCTATGAATCATCTATGCGCCTTGGTTTCTTTCATATCTCAAACATCAGTATTTGTTCCTTGTTTTATTTAATTCATTTGTTCTCTACTTTTTTTTTCTGAAGCTGGTATGTGTATGTATGTATGTATGTATGTGTGTGTGTGTGTGTGTGTATGGTGTGGTGTGTGTGTATGGTGGTGTGTGTGTGTGTGTATGTGTGTGTGTATAAGAGAGAGAACATTTGTGTGCCTGTGTGTGTGTATTTGGCAATACTTAGGGCATTTTTCTTTTTTTCTTTTTCTTTTACTAGTTTTCTGAAAGTGGATGTTTAAGTTTTCAGGGAAACTGGAATATTTTGATCACAAAATGGTTGGAAGAAACATCTTTTTTTTACCCTGAAACAGTCAAACATTTTGTGTATATCAAAAAAGAGACATTTTGACCATATCTTAAAGTAGCCGTTCACCGTAAAACAAAGGTTTCATTCCACCCTGAGGAACAGTGCTGACTTTCTTTACTTCCGTTGACACCTTTCCTCAATTTCTCAGTTTCTCTACTCTCTTAAGGCTTCATAGCACAAGAATCTCCATCTGCCACTTCAATTAGAGGTGCCTGGGTCATGCCAGCACTTAATCCTGGACCATAAATTCTTTCCAAAGTTTCTGTCAGCTACTCTAAGCTCAAGGCCTCTCCAGAGTCTCTGATTTGATTTTAGTCCATGGAATGAAGCCAAGGTCTCAGGACCTTAAAAAAGTAACATTTTCTGACAAATACCATGAATTAGTTTTATCTTGCCCTTATTCCTTTGGAACAATTTTTCCAGCATATTTGGGCTTGTACTTCTCCCTCTACCATTTCCTACAACATGGGAGTTGTAGGTGTAGTTCCAAGCACTAGTCTCCTAAACAGTTATAACTACATACCCCTCAGAATCTTGGGCACCAAGAGAAGCTTTGCTGAGACAGGAAAACTCCAAACTTTGGGAGCTTGCTTCAATGATAATCAGAATTCCTTATTGATGCTAGCTTAGACTTGTTCTCCAGGGTTGACAGAATTCTAACATGGACAGGAGGCATTTTTAAGACTTCTTAAGGTCAATAGGATGGAACTGGCCTGCCTGGAAGGTCACATAGCAATAGGTATAAATATAGGAAGTTCATAAAGGGTGCTAACATTACAATCTGCCACTGTTCTCTCTCCCTTTTTTTGAGTGGATCTTGTCTGTCTGTTGTTCCACATGCAGAATGCCTTGTTTCCTTCCCAAGAACCTCATCGGTTCTTCATATGGTGGACAAACAAGAATGAAATGGGAGTAGACAACCACAAAAACATTCAAAAAAAGAATGCAAGTCAGATAACAGTCAGTGGTCATTAATAATTTAAAATGAAGATTGTGAGGGACAGATGGGCTATGATTGCAGTATAGTTCTAATCACTGTAAGCGGCACTGTTCTTCATTCTTGAACCTTGGCTTTGCCATCTGAGAACATCAAAGACATTTCTCCCCATTGTCTTTGGCCATTTCTAAAGCATGTTTCTCAGCCTGCATTCTGCTCATACAAAGGTGAGAACCCAGATGTGCTTTTGCTTTAGAATTTCTTTCTCCTCTTTGGTCTAAGTAAAAGGAAACACTTTTAGCAATATAATAAATTTTCATGAGCTTTATGAATATGAGTCTTCACTGGACAGAATCTTCAATCACAACCATTTTAAGGTTTTGAAGTTACCATTATGCTTATGTCCACCATTTCTGTTGATTTAGGTCCAGCACCAGTAAGTTTACTGGAAATTCTTTTGTCTACCTACTACCTTAATTCACTTTGAGACATTATCACAATGTCTTATAATTAGAGTTTTTTGTCTGCACATATGCCTATGTACCACACACACACACACACACACACATGCCAGGAGCCCAAGAATGTCAAAAGAGGGTGTCAGATCCTCTGTAACTCAAGTTACAGACTGTTGTGAGCCATCATTTTGGAGAAGCAGCCACGACTCTTAACTGATAAACCATCTCTCTAGCACCTTTTTTATTTTGAGTTATTTTACTTTAATATGATGCTTTTGATTTATAGCTATCTTCTTTTTAAATACTTTATTAATTTTTTTATTCATTTTACATACCAATCACAGTTCATCCTCTCTTCCAATCTTCTGCTTCCCCCACCTTCCCTTCACCCCACATCCACTCCTCAGAAATGGTAAGGCCTCCCATGTGGAGTCAATAAAGCCTGACATATCAAGTCGAAGCAGGACCAATGCCCTCCCCATTGTATCTGGACTGAGCAAGATATCCTTGCATAGGGAATAGACTCCTAAAAGCCAGCTCATGTACTAGGGATAAATCCTGGTTACACTGCCAGGGACCAAACCAACAGACTAAGCCACACAACTGTCACCCACATGAAGAAGGCCTAGTTCGGTCCCATGCAGGTTCCCTAGCTGTCAGTCCAGTGTCCACGAGGTCCCACTAGCTCTGGTCAGCTGTTTCTGTGGGTTTTCCCATCATGATCTTTACACCCTCCCCCACTCATATAATTTCTCCTTTCTCTCTTCAACTGGAGTCTCGGAGGTCGGTCCAGTGCTTGGCTGTGGATCTCTGTATCTGTTTCCATCAATTGCTGGATGAAGAGCCTATGGTGACAATTATGGTAGTCCCCAACCTGATTACAGGGAACAGCCAGTTCAGGCACCCTCTCCATTATTGCTAGAAGTCTTAACTGGGGTCATCCCCTTATTTTGCAACTTACGAAGCTTTGGATCTTTTTTATCATCTCTAAATTTTGCTTGTAAACTGGCCAGTTGTTTCATCAACTCATATTTAACTTGTACTTTATCTCACACAGCTGGGAGTGTCCAAGAGAAATTTGCAACGTGCTGCATGAAGATCTCCTGAGGCAAACTGAGAAGTTCATTAGACAAGTTTTCCATTTTCTAAACTGTCCTCAAACAGCAGCCCTTTCAGTCCAGTGCACTAGAGGCCACTGCATCCATGCTAAGCATTGCCCCGTAACATTTTAGACTTTGCCATTAGTTTTCTAGTTACTACTTGCTCTCATGCCCTACAGATAATGCTTCACATTAATTTAGCCTTTATTAGCATGCCTTCAATGTACATGTTATTAGAATTCAGCATGACATTTCAATACATGAATGCACTGTGTCCCAATGAAACCCAGTC